GGAGGAGGAGATGACGCGGAGACGTGAGAAAGGGCTGTGTTTCCGGTGCGAGGAAAAGTACACACCGGGACATCGATGCAAGCAGAATTACTTGATCGAGTTTGTGGACTCGGATGACGAGGAGCCGGTGATCGAGGAAGAATGAGAGGTGGAGGTCGAGGTGCTCGATGATGAGGCCGAGATCTCTGTACACGCCATGGCGGGCACCAAGGGGCCGAGGACGATGCGTTTGCCGGCGTGGGTGAAGGATCAGCGAGTGACTGTGCTAGTGGACAATGGGTCGTCGCACAACTTTATTAATGTGACGCAATCTCACAAGCTTAAACTACCCACGTCCATGGTCGAGCCACTCGATGTACGGGTGGCTAATGGAGAGAGACTGCGGTGCTCGAAGGTATACCGAGGCGTGCCAATCAAATTCGAAGGAGTAACGGTAAAGGCGGACCTGTTTGCCTTACCGTTGGTAGGACCTGATGTGGTGCTTGGTGTGCAATGGCTCGAAGGGCTCGGTGACGTAACGACCAACTGTCGGAAGGGTGTGATGAAGTTCGAGACCGATGATAGGTTGGTTACCTTGAAAGCGAGCGAGGGATCGACCAAGGAGGTTGGTCTAAAAAACATCGAGAAGGTGTGGCGAGGTGGTGGACAGTTGTACGCTGTCGTGGTCGAGCAGATAGGAAAGGATACTAAGGTGCTCGAGGAGTTCGACCAGGTGGTCGAGGAGAGGCAGCGCGAGGTGCGTCACTTGCTCGAGGAGTTCGACCAGGTCCTCGACGAGCCCAAGGGGACTGCCGCCTCACCGAGAGTTCGACCACCGTATACCCTTGGTCGAGGAAGGTCGAGCAGTGCACGTGCATCCGTATCGATACGCACACTTCCAAAAGACGGAGATCGAGCGACAGGTGGGTGAGATGCTCGATTCTGGGCTCATCCAGCATAGCTCGAGCCCGTTCTCGTCACCGGTGTTGCTCGCAAAGAAGAAGGACGGAACTTGGAGATTTTGCATGGACTATCGCGCTCTCAATGCGGCTACTGTGAAGGATCACTTTCCCATTCCGAGCGTCGACGACATGCTGGATGAGTTGGGTGGCGCGCATTACTTCTCCAAACTCGACCTACGCGCGGGCTACCATCAGATCAGATTGGCCAAGAAGGATGTGCCCAAGACGGCTTTTCGCACGCACCAAGGGCACTACGAATATCTCGTGATGCCTTTTGGTTTGTGCAATGCGCCGTCGACATTTCAGTTTGCGAGGAATTCAATCTTCAAGGAGTACCTTCGTAAGTTTGTGTTAGTATTCTTTGATGACATTTTGGTGTACTCGAAAACATGGACAGATCATCTCGAGCACTTGCGAGTTATTTTGAAGATTTTGGAGGCTAACCCATTCTACATCAAACCGTCCAAGTGCTCGTTTGCTCAAGAGGTGGTCGAGTACCTTGGGCACTTTATTTCTCATGATGGCGTTAAGGTGGATCCAAGGAAAATCGAGGCGATGGTGGGATGGCCGAAACCCACGAGCTTGACGCAGTTGCAAGGGTTCCTTGGTCTCACGGGCTATTATCGAAAATTCGTGAAGGACTATGGAACCATGGCAAAGCCACTTACGGAGATGACGAAGAAGGGAGCATTCAAGTGGGCGAAAGCGAGCGGAAAGGCTTTCGAGGAACTAAAGAAGGCCATGACGACCGCACCCGTGCTCGCAATGCCGAGGTTTGATGTGTTGTTCGAGATTCACTCGGATGCGAGCGACATTGGAATCGGAGCGGTTCTAGTAAAGGAAGGACGACCCTTGGCTTATCTCAGCAAGGCTCTCGGGCCGGCGCGCTTAGGGTTGTCCGCATACGTAAAAGAGATGCTAGCTGTGGTCGAGGCCGTGCGCGTATGGAGGCCGTACTTGCTTGGGCGACGCTTTCGGATTGTCACGGACCAGCAGCCACTGAAGCACTTGCTCGAGCAAAGGAACGTGACGCCCGAGCAGCAGAAGTTCATATCCAAATTGATGGGGTTCGACTTCGAGATAGTGTATCGGACCGGTCGCCAGAACACCGTGGCCGACGCATTGTCTCGCCGAGAAGACGTGGCCGAGCTCGACGCAGTGACGGGGCCGACGTGGGCTGTTTGGACAGAGCTTTGGAAGGCGCAAGACAAGGATGCGCATTGTCAGGACGTGGTCGAGAAACTGAACGAGGGACGCGACAAGGACGAGGACCATGACATGCACGATGGCTTGCTCCTTTATCATGGGCGAGTCGTCGTGCCCGAGGCGGGATCTTTGCGCGAGGACATCATTCGGCACTTTCACGACTCGAAGTTTGGAGGACATTCGGGGGTGTTCCGGACATGGATGAGGATTGCGAGCACTTTTTATTGGCCAGGGCTGAGGGGCGATGTGCGCGACTACGTTGGGCGATGTGATGAGTGCCAACGCACTAAGGCGGACGCACGTCGACCAGGCGGGCTGCTCTAACCTTTGCGGGTCCCTGCACGTATTTGGGAGGACATCACCATGGATTTTATCGAGGAATTGCCACTCTCGAATGGGTTCAATGGAGTCATGGTGGTAGTCGACCGTCTTACCAAGTATGCACATTTTATTCCACTTACTCATCCATACACGGCTAAGTCTATAACAAAATTGTTTGTTGAATATGTGATGAAGTTGCATGGGGTGCCGCGGTCAATTGTTTCCGACCGAGATCGGATATTTATGAGTAGTTTCTGGTCAGAGTTCTTTAAATTACAGGGTACCGAGCTAAACATGAGCTCGTCTTATCATCCACAAACCGACGGACAAACGGAAGTGACCAATCGCACACTCGAGCAGTACCTTAGGTGCTATGTGCATCAATTTCCAAAGCGATGGGAGAATTATTTACCTTGGGCCGAGTATTGGTATAACACCACTTACCATAGTTCGACTAAGGCAACGCCGTTCGAGTTGGTGTACAGGCGCAAACCGCCGATGATTGTGAGTTACTCGATGGGGAGCGCCGTGAACGTGAGGTCGATCGAGAGTTGGTCGAGCGCGACTTGATGTTACGCGAGCTAAAGCGGACGTTGGAGGGCTCGATCAATAGGATGAAGGCGTATCATGATGGCAAGCAGCGCGACGTAGAGTTCTAGCCCGGGGACTGGATATACTTGAAGCTGAGGCCATTTCGGCAAAGAACGGCCGCGCAAAGGGCCGCGACCAAGCTCGGAGTTCGATATTACGGGCCTTATAAAATTTTGGCCAAGGTTGGGAAGGTTGCTTATCGACTTGAGTTG